ATTCTGTTCAAGCTGTAACAAGCAACAAAGCACTAATACATGCTACAACACGAGTGAAGCTAGACACAAAAGGCTACATACTCTATGATTGCATTTATATGAAATGTCCCATAGACAAATCTATAAAGACAGAAAGCAGATTAATGGCTACCATGGCAGAGGTTTGGGTGTGGAGACTGGGAGAATGGAAAGTGATTGCTAACGGACTAATGAGCTTCTTTTAGGGAAAACAAAAATGTTAGGAAATTAATGGTGAAAGTTTTCAACCTCCTGAATATACTGAAAACTACTGAATTATACTGAATTGTATAGTATGTGGATTTTATGTCAACAAAGATTGGCCAACACTGTGACACATCTGGAAGGAACTGGATTTAAATTTTTGAAAACCTACAAGAATCCAGGAATAAAAAACCAAAACCCTATAGGGAGAAAAAATTAGGAGAGCCTCTTATACAGAAACAGTTCATAATCTGGGAGTGATAGATTAGGAAAGTGGTTTAAGTATATTAGTTAACTAGATTACATAGCTGCTAAATGATTAGAAAAACAACTCAAAGAAATATAAACTACATAGTAATGAAAAAAATAGAAAACAGCAAGAAATCATTAAAAATGGTAAGAAATCTTGAACAGCTTGAAACAATTTTGAAAGAGGACAGAAGACTCATAGTTTGTGATTTCAAAACATATTACAAAGGAACAGTAACAAAAACAATGTGGTACTACCATAAAGACAAACAGAGGCCAGTGCTGTGGCATAGCAGAAAAGGCACCACCTGTGGTGCCGGCATTCCATGAGTGCCAGTGCTCCACTTCCGATCTATTTCTCTGCTATGGCCTGGGAAAACAGTAGAAGATGGCCCAAGTCCTTGAGCCCCTGCACCCACATGGGAGACCCAGAAAACTCCTGGCTCCTGGCTTCAGATCAATGCAGCTCTGACCTTTCTGGCCAACTGTGGAGTGACCCCCAACCCCCGGCCTCTCCTTCTCTCTCTGTGTAACTCTGATTAAAGAAATATTTATTATTTATTTGAAAGTCAGTTACGGCCGGTGCTGCGGCTCACTTGGCTAATCTTCTACCTGCGGCGCCGGTACCCCGGGTTCTAGTCCCGGTTGGGGTGCCGGATTCTCTCCTGGTTGCTCCTCTTCCAGTCCAGCTCTCTGCTGTGGCCCGGGAAGGCAGTGGAGGATGGCCCAAGTGCTTGGGCCCTGCACCCGCATGGGAGACCAGGAGAAGCACCTGGCTCCTGGCTTCGGAAAGGCACAGCGTGCCAGCCATAGCGGCCATTTGGGGGGTGAACCAACGGAAGGAAGACCTTTCTTTCTCTCTAACTGCCTGGGGGGGGGCGGGGAGTCACAGCTATACACAGAGAGAGAATGAGAGAGAGAGAGAATGAGAGAGAGAAAGAGAGAGAGAGAGAATCTTCCATCTGCTGGTTCACTCCCCAATTGGCCACAACAGCCAGAGCTGAGGGGATCTGAAGCCAGGAGCTTCTTCCAGGTCTCTCACGCAGGTGCAGGGGCCCAAGGACTTGGGCCATCTTCTACTGCTTTCCCAGGCCATAGCAGAGAGCTGGATCGGAAGTGGAGGAGCCGGGACTCAAACCGGCACCTATATGGGATGCTGGCACTGCAGGCAGCAGCTTTACCCACCATGCCACAGCACCAGCCCCAATAAATAAATCTTTAAAAACAAAAACAAAAAGATAAGCAGACCAATGACACACACAGAGAGCCAAAAATAAACCTGCCCATATATGGTCAAATTATTTTTTAAGGACTTATTTTTTACTTGAGAGTAGAGTTACACAGAGAGAGGAGAGGCAGAGAGAGAGAGAGAGGTCTTCCATCCATTGGTTCACTCCCCAATTGGCCACAACGGCCGGAACTGTGCCAATCCAAAGCCAGGAGCCAGAGCTTCTTCCAGGTCTCCCACGTGAGTGTAGGGGCCCAAGGATTTGGGCCATCTTCTACTGCTATCCCAGGCCATAGCAGAGAGCTGAATCGGAAGTGGAGCAGCCAGGACTAGAACCAGTGCCCATATGGAATGCTGGCAATTCAGGCCAGGGCTTTCCCCTGCTGTGCCACAGCGCTGGCCCCATCAAATGATTTTTGATGAGGATGTCAAGACCATTCAATGGAGAAGGCAATCTTTTCAATAAATGATGCTGGGGAAACTGGATAATCACAAGCCAAGTATGAAATTAAACCTTTTTCTTATGCAATAATTTTATGTTATATAAAAGTAATTCAAGGGGCTGGCGCTGTGGCTTAGTGGGTAAAACCACTGCCTGCAGTGCCAGCATCCCACATGGGTGCCGGTTCGAGTCTAGGCTGCTCCACTTCTAATCCATCTCTCTGCGATGGCCTGGGAAAGCAGTAGAAGATGGCCCAAGTCCTTGGGCCCCTGCACCTGCGTGAGAGACCTGGAAGAAGCTCCTGACTCCTGGCTTCAGACTGGTGCAGCTCTGGCCATTGCTGCCATTTGGGGAGTGAACCAGCAGATGGAGGACCCCTCTCTGTGTCTCTCTGTAACTCTCAAATAAATTAATTCAAAATGGATTAAAGACCTAAAACAACAAAATTCAGATCTCAAAAGGAAAGATAAGACGACAGGCAACAAAAGCAAAAACAAAGACTATACCAATTGCACCAAGGGACACAATCAACAGAGTGAAAAGGCAGTGTACAGAAAAGGAGAAAATACTAGCAAATCATGTATCTGATAAGAGGGTAAGATCTAACAAAAAAACTCAAATAATATGAACAGACATTACTTCAAGGATGATATACAGGGGCCGATGCTATGGTGCAAAAATTTAATCCTCTGCCTAAGGCACTGGCATCCCATAGAGGCACTAGAATGAAGTTAGTATTGACAAGATGTGGTGAATCTGGAACTCTGGGTGCTAAGAATGGAAATGTAAACTTGTGTAGACATTGTTACAACTTGGTGGCTTCTCTTCAAATTAAACACAGAATTACCACATGACCCACTCAACATTTCTATATATAGGTATATACCCAAAATAACATACAAGTGTTCAAACAAAAATTTGTATATGAATATCCTACATTAGGTCTATTCACAATAACCAGAAAGTAGAAACCACTCAATCAGTATCTGAATGAACAAAATGTTGCATACAAATGTGATGAAATATTAATCAGCCATAAAATAAAGCAATGAAGAACTGATAAATGCTTTAATATGAATGAACCTATATAATAGTTTGCTAAAGTGAAAGAAATTTCCTATGAAGGGCCATCTTCTACAATATATGACCAAGTCCTTGGGTCTCCACAACCATGTGGGAGACCTGGAAGAAGCTTCTACGCTCCTGGCTTTGGGCCAGCCCAGCTCCAGCAGTTGCGGCCATATGGGGAGTGAACCAGTGGATGGAAGACACCTCCCTCTCTCTCTCTCTCTCTCTGCCTCTATAACTCTGCCTTTCAAGTAAAATCTTTAAATAGCATGTATTTTCAAACACACACATACACACACACAAAACACTTCCTACCTGGATCTTTCCCCCCATCTCTTCTGTCACTCCCAATTCATTTTTTAAAAACTCTATTATGTTATAAAAATGCAATCATTGTCATTTAACATCTGATAGTTTTTATGATAAATAATATTTATGGTATATTATCTGAATGTCTCATGCCTCCTTTTCATTAGACCAGTGGTCTCCAAGTTTTCTTGATCAGGCAATCTGCTGACAAAATATTTTTGAGGACAAATTGCCAAAACAGGTATTTATAAATTATGTCACTACTTTACTCCTATATTATAAAACATACATAAAATTTTTTTAAAGGTTGAGTAGTTTTAATTTTTGTGATGACATAACTTTCAATTTACTTTATGATCACAAGCTTAATCCTCTACTAAATAAAGAATTCAACAGGAAGTAAGTAGAAAGACCACTGTCCCTCAGGAGCATATATGAGGGCTATAAACATTAATCAAATCTCAAGATGTCTACCTCACTCATATATATTACCTTTTTTGTACCCTATGTGTTAGTTATCACAAACATTAATTCTAGTAGTTATTCCATACTCGAATGAACCATTTGCGAGCATCCGTCTTTTGAGAGCACTTCTCTATTCCTAACTTTTGCTCCTAAGCTAAAGCAATGGTCTGCATTGGCTGATTCCTTGAGATCTGCTACTAACTCCTTAGTCTAATGTAGAAATAGCCTTACAGGCACTGTTACAGAATCTACTATAAGGATATTGTGGAGGGCTCTGTTGTACTATGGTGCCACCTTTATGAAGACAGATCAGAGGAATTTCTCTTGGGTCTTTGTACCAGAAATATCTGTAATAATTTTGAAAATTTCAAGTTGCTTTGCATTAAGGCTAATGTAATTGAACACAAAATTCTAGTAACACCAAATACTAAGAAACACATAGCCAAATTTGTAGCTAAATTCTAGCAAATATATCTACCAAGTATACAAGCATTTATCTGCCCCTGGCTTCAACTTATGCTTCCACCACTCATCTTCCTCATTTATTGTTAAAAAATGTTATAGCTTCAGTTTTTCTCATCCCAATTCTTCATTAACTTAAAAAATTATACTGTATTATTTCTGTGTGTGTATGGGTATGTGTATTTAAAAGCACCTCAAATATTTCTTGGAAGAGAGGGAGAAATGAGTAAAAAGCAAACAAAAATCAGACAATATTATGCAGAACAGAGGTCATTCTAAACTTGGAGCTCTCCCATGTCAGGAGTATACTTTGTAGATTCTGAAGCATCTAATAGCAAAACCCTTCAACCAAAGAGTAATTTGTAAATGAGTGTTGATGAAAAGAATGACAACTCACAATAGCACTGTACTACACTTTCTCACTCTTTTCCAGTTGGTAATAAGTAAAATAGTGAAGAAAGGGCAAATGACTTTTTTTCACCTGCGTGTAAAGATTAACTGAAAAGTCCATGAAAAAGGCAGTCACATTGCCAGATGGAATTTGTAGCCATGTACCTGGATGCGTTTCCTTCTCGTGTGCTCAGAAGTCATTTGGGGATGCCCAACATTCAATGCTTTCTTGTTGTGCTTACACCGCTTCTCAAGGTATCTTCTCTGTTGGTTGGTGGTGCTGCTGTATAACTTAATTCGCCTGGGTGACATACATACTCTTTCGTGGCCAAAAGCTTGGATCAAACGGGCCGTGTCAATGGTGGAAATAGAACTACTCCTTTCACGCAAAGTTACCTCTCTATCTGTTTGGGTCAATATATCTGAATCCACAGAAGTGGTGGTGGAAAGAATGTTGGTGGTGGTATCTGTGAGTAGCTCACTTTCCTCTGAGGGCCTAGACTCTGAAGAAGTGTTGCTTATATAATTAAAACCTGGCTGTTTTCTCAGAATGTATTTATCAAATTTAATTTGTTCAATTTTAATCTGACTGGGCCTCCCAGCCTGATGGGAAAGCACCTTGCTTTTTTTAAGATCGCTTATGTTTCTATGTTTAAGATCTCCTAGGCTTTTATACCGCTTCTTTTTCTGAAGCTTGCTTTTCTGTGGTTGATGTTTACCGCTCCATTCCCTAACATCGCGCTCCCCTCTGCTATCATCTTGTGTGCTTTCAGAGGCATGGAGAGAATGTGTGATGGGATTCTGAAGAAGTTTAGCCAAGCGATCCAGTCGCTCCACCAAAGACAGTTCTTTCCCGTCAATGAACCCAGGTGGTTTCTGTTGCTTTTGTCGTTCCTGATACTTGTTCCAGAGTTCATTTAGATTTGAGGTATGCTGGGTTGTTACCGCTCGGGTGACTTTATGTTCCTTTTTTGGGTCATTAATTTGTCTGCTACTTTTCAGATAATCTCTAGCCTGACTTTTAGTAGTATGTATCACTTCTTTGTTTCCCAAATTCAGATTGATGCTGAGGCTCTTTACTCTGGTATAATCAGTCTGAGTCTTGTCCACACTTTGAAATGGGGGAGGAAGGTAAGTGTGTTCTCTATGCTTGTCTGAATGATGCTGAAAGAAATCCTTCCAAGAATGCTGCACTAACACACTCCTTCCCACAGATTCATGACAAAAATCTTGGTCACTTGCTAGGTGCACTGGATGATGAAAGTAAAACTTGGCTGACCTGAAGACAGAATGGGTAGTATTTTCAAATTCTGAATGACTTTCAGATTCTGAAAAGAGAAAAAAATATTTTGAAAGAATTTAACATATTTACATTTCCTTTAAGATACTGTCTGCCCTTAGTTTTTTAGAACGAAAAAGGAAAACGAAACAACAATTTACATAAAATTTCAGAAAATTCACTGCCTGTGCAAAGGACTCATGCATTATGATCAGCAGCCACACTGGAATGGTCAAAGTCTGAGAGATTCCCAATCAGAACCCCTGGACTCTGGGCTGGACTCTACACTGACCAGCAACGTAACCACAAGTAGGCATGTTAGTTCTCCAAGACTGTTAAGATCAGCTACTTGTTTGTATTTAGTGCTCATCATTGTGGTGTGTTATTGCATGTGCTCTACCTCTGCTTTTTAAAAAAAAGTTTAATATGTTTAAGACTGAAAAGCAGAGCTAGTGCTGTGGCGCACTAGGTTAATCCTCTGCTTGCGGCGCCAGCATTCCATATGGGTGCCGGTTCTAGTCCCGGTGGCTCATCTTCTAGTCCAGCTCTCTGCTGTGGCCCAGGAGTACAGTGGAGGATGGCCCAAGTCCTTGGGCCCCTGCACCCGCATGGGAGACCAGGAAGAAGCACCCGGCTCCTGGCTTCGGATCGGAGCAGCTCCGGCCATTGCGGCCACTTGGGGGGTGAACCAATGAAGGGAAGGCCTTTCTCTCTGTCTCTCTGTCTCTCTCTCTCTGTCTGTAATTCTGCCTGTCAAATAAATTAAAAAAAAAAAAAAAGACTGAAAGGCAGCAGTAGCTCCATTTTCAGCTAAGAAATCTGAGACTTCATTTCATCATCAGTATTTAATGAATGGAATAAAAACCTTTTTTTTTTTTTACATGTTTTATAGCATTAAAAAATCCATTGTATGTATACCAATTTCATTTTCCCCAAGTTTTTTACTGTGATAAAGTACACATAAAATTTACCATTTTCCAATTTCACTCTTTGACAATAATTGTATCAAAAGAGAAATTTTTAGATATTAGTATCCTATAATCTGCAGTTTGAATATCTGTGTCCCTCCAAAATTCAGGTTGAAATTTTATCTCCAATGCGGCAGTATTAAGCTGTGGGGCCTTTAGGAGGAAATTAGCTCATAAGGGCTCTACCTCTAACAGTAGGATTACTGTCCTTATAAAAGGGCTTACAGGAGTCTATTTGGCCATTTTCTGCCTTCCATCAACTGAGGACGTGGCCTCTGACCCTACCTCTATATGAGCACACAGCAACAAGGTATCATTCTTGGAAGCAGAAACTGGGCTCTCACCAGATATTCAATCTCCTGATGCTGAGACCTTGGACTTTTCAGCCTCCAGAACTGAGAGAAATATATTTCTCTTTTTAAATGAAAAAATTTTAAAAGATTTTATTAATTTGACAGGCAGAGTTATAGACAGTGAGAGGGAGAGGCAGAGAGAAAGGTCTTCCTTATGTTGGTTAACTCCCCAAGTGGCCACAACGGCCGGAGCTGCGCCGATCCGAAACCAGAGGCAGAAACAAAGGTACCTACATGCACCTATGGGTTTCTTTTTACCCACACTGTAGATTATTGACAACCAGAGTTATCATTAAATGCTCTAGGAATTTCTACAAATTTCCCTAAAGTATAGTAACTGCTTTTATGCTAACATATAAAAAGATTCTATAAAATTTTAGTTATCTAGCAATATTTAAAAGATTTGGAGATTTTAAATTAATAGAAACAAAAATATATAATTAAAATTGTATTAAGGGGTATGAGGGACAAAAATGAGTTGATATAAGAATAATTTTAAGGGCCAGTTCCATGGCGCACTAGGTTAATCCTCTGCCTGCAGCGCCGGCATCCCATATGGGTGCCAGTTCTAGTCCCAGTTGCTCCTTTCTCCTTTTCTATGTAACTCTAGTTCTCAAATAAACAAATCTTTAAAAAAAAAAAAAAGGAATAATTTTAATGAGAATCAGTAGTTAGAGAAGACTTCTCTGAGGAGGTGGAAATGCTAAGTAAATATGAGAGCTAAACAAACAAAAATGGCAGGTGCAGAGCATTCTGGGCAGAAGGGATCATCATGCCTGAATGCCTGTGGCAATGCTGCTGCCACCTATGCCACTGAGCAGTGCCTGTAACATTTCTGTATAGAGACAGGACCACCCCTCCTTTTAAAGGCAAATCTCTTCACTGGTGCTCTGGAGCGCAGTCATCTTCCTTTCAAGGCCTTGGTTCCTTTCCCCATCTTATTTCTCTAATATCTTCAGTCTCTCCCTTATTTCCAATATATTGAAAGCATAATTTACTGTATCACAACTTTAGAAAATCCTCACATCCTCTTCCAGGTACTGGCTCATTTAGTTGCTCCTCTTCAGTTAAGTTTCTAAAGGAGAAAATATGTATTTTCTTCTTATCCTTTGCCTACATATCACTGGACTAAAACTTCTCTTGCTAATTAAACCCGTTACTTCCATGTATAACCAATTCATTCCATGAGATGTTTTCATTCTATATTCTCTTTCTAGGTGATCCTATCTTTCCCTATTTCAGTATCATCTTCATGCTGCTAACTGTGCTCAAACTTACATTTCAGGCTATGACTTCTCTCTTGAGCTCTAGATTCATACACTGAATATACTCACTTGGATTCCACAGCCATCTCAAATTTTCAATGTCCCTAACTGAATTCTGTTCTTGCCTCTTGTAGAATTGTACTTCTACATTTCTGTAAATGGCACATTACTCTATTTTGCAAAATAAAACCTGGGAATTAACTCTTGTTATTTCTATCTCCCTCATCTTCATGTTCCTGCCATTAATCCCTCATCAAACAATACAAATCTGCCCATTTCTTATTCCTCTCATATTACTGAACGTTTCCAATAGGTCTACTGTCCCTTCCTTTCCTTTGCCAACCTATTCTTCAAATACTGTCAGGATAATAATTTTAAAATGTAAACTGGGCATATTCTTTTTTTTCCCCGTGCCTAAAATGTTTATTCTCAGTATAGCTTATGCTTAGACAAGTAGGAGGGGGACTTAACAAAGTTCTGGGCATGAAGCTTTTCCACACAAATACAGATGATTATACCAAACCTGCATGAGCACTGTCAGAATAAATTCACCATTTTCTTTCCCCAAACTCATTGCCAAGAGATGGATGTGCTTTTTCTTTGTTTTTCTTGTTGCTTTTAAAGATTGGTTCAATTATTTGAAAGGCGTTTACAGAGAGTGAGAGAGTGAGAGAGAGAGAGAGAAAGAGAGAGAAAGAGAAAGAGAGCGAGCGAGCACTTCTATCTATTGGCGCATTCTCCAAATGGTCATAATGGCCAGAGTTGTGAAAAGCCAAAGCCAGGAGCCAGGAACTCCATTCAGCTCTCCCATGTGGCTGGCAAGGACCCAAGCACTTAGGGTCATCTTCTGCCACCTTCCCAGGTGCATCAGCAGTGAGCTGCATTGGCAGTGGAGCAGCCAGGATTTAAACCCAGTTAACCCACTGTACCACAACATTGGCACCTCTTTTAGTCTTATAGTAAGAGTATAACCCATTGGAGATTTAGATGTATGCAGGGATTTCCTTTAACATTTTTCACAATGAGTGAGTCCTGAGTAAGTCCTAAGTTTTACTTCTAATCCCCAACTTAATATAGATGTTAAGTATAACATCTAAATCAATAGAATCCAGTTGAATCACTTGGGTGATAATCTGCTTTAATGCTCAATTACTTCCCAAACTCCTGAATTCACTCCACTTTATGAGTTTATTTATTATTTATTTTATTTGAAAGGCAGAGAGAGACAGAAAGATGCTTTCCCTCTACTTTTGCAATATGAAGATGCTTTATTGTTATCCCATTCTCTATTAAATATTTTTTATTATTTTAAAATATTTTATTAAATATTTTTATTTATTAATATTTTTAAGATTGATTTTATTTACTTGAAAGGCAAAGTTACAGAGAGAAGGAGAGAGAGAAGGAGAGAGAGAGAGAGAGAGAGAGAGAGAGAGAGAGAGAGAAAGAGAAAGAGAAAGAGAAAGAGAAAGAGAAAGAGAAAGAGAAAGAGAAAGAGAAAGAGAAAGAGAAAAAGAGAAAGAGAAAAAGAGAAAGAGAGAAAGAGAAAGAGAGAAAGAGAGAAAGGGTTCACTCCCCAAATGGCTGCAATGGCTGAGGCTGGGCCAGGCTGAAGTCAGGAGCCAGGAGCCTGGAACTCCATCCAGGTTTTCTACTGCTTTCCCAAGCACATTAGCAGAGAGCTGGGTCCAAAGCAGAACAGTCAGGAGTTGAACCGGCACTTACATGGAATGCTGGCATTACAAGCACAGCTTAACCCACCATACCATGATGGAAGCTCCACTGGCTATTTTCTTTAAGGAAGTTTTTCAGGATATCTAATTCACCTTATTTTTAGAAGCAGACATATAGAAAACAAGAAGTAAAATGGCAGATATAAATAAAATTATGTAGATAATAACATTAAATGTGAATGGACTAGAGGCCACCACTGTGCTGTAGTGGGTAAAGCTGCCACCTGCAGTGCTGACATTCCATATGGGTGCTGGTTCAAGTCCCAGCTACTCCACTTCTGATCCAGCTCTCTGCTATGGCCTGGGAAAGCAGTAGAAGATGGCCCAGGTCCTTGAGCCCCTGCACTTGCGTGGGAGACCCAGAAGAAGCTCCTGGCTCCAGATCAGCTCAGTTCTGGCCATTGTGGTCATTTGAGGAGTGAACCAGCAGATGGAAGAACACACTGTCTCTCTGTGTCTACCTCTCTGTAACTTTGCCTTTCATATAAATAAATAAATCTTGGGGCTGGTGCCATGGCTCACTTGGTTAATTCTCTGCCTGCAGTCTAGCATTCCATATGGGTGCCGGTTCTAGTCCCGGTTGCTCCTCTTCCAGTCCAGCTCTCTGCTGTGGCCCGGGATGGCAGTGGAGGATGGCCCAAGTGTGTGGGCCCCTGCACCCACATGGGAGACCAGGAGGAAGCTCCTGGCTCCTGGCTTCAGATCGGCATAGCGCCGGCTGTAGCGGCCA